ATTTTAGTATGACACTTGTTACTTGTGCGACTTACATGTATTATATTATAATAATTTTTCTAACTTATAACATATAACTACATTAAACATGAATATATTAATTGAGAAATAATTTTATTTTTTAATTGATTTTAATAAATATTTTTTTATTATTGCAAAGATAAATATATTTTGTTTATTTTATATATACAATATGGATGTCCAATCGAAACTCATCAAAAAATGATTAATTTGATACATTATATATGTAAAACCGATAAAAATACAAAAGTTATCAACTTTTAAAATACATTTCCAATTCAATAGTTATAATGGGAAATGATATTAAAATACAATTACTACATCTAAAATGATCATAAATAAATCAACATATTTATGGTAATCCGAACTTAATTAGTTTTTGATTGGAATTAAATTAAAATCTATCCAAACCAAATAACAAAGCATGAAATTTTAACACTTAAGATTCCGAAACATGCGAGCCTGCCACTTAGACTCAGCACATTCGGGAATTATATACAGGAGCGACAATAAAAATAAAAAAAATCCAAAAAAGATAAAATTGATATTTAGTTACTAATTGCCTGTCATTTGACAAGAATATTATAGGATAAAAATAAATACTCATTTCTCCATCAAATAAAAATTAATCAAAAAATGAAAATTGATGTTTAGTTAGTGATTGCTTGTGAGAGATGAATTGGTCTAATAAGGAAAGAAATGTCTTATTAGAAGGCCAATCGTTGCTTTTACCTCTTCTTGACTATGGTTTTATTTTACACTTCACTTAACTTGCAAATAAATTGGGAAATTCTACTGCCCTGTTACGACCATTTCATCGGAGCTTGTAATCGTTAGATCAATTATATCTGACGGTTACATGATGATTTAACGATTACAAATTCTGACGAAATGGTTCCATTTCGTTTACGACTAGTTATACAACATCCATGCTTTTATAAGAGAGAATGTTTTCTTACATAAGCAAAATTTAATCCGAGTATAATTTCAGATTTCAAGACGCATATGCGAACGCCACACATGCAAGAAGTGTGGCGTGTTCTTCACCTATCAGCCAACATTATTATATCTCGCCATTCACACAAATACTGGGCATTAAAAAGATTGAAAATTGAAAAAATATATAGCAAACCCTGTTTCAGAAAATTACACACAGCCCAGAAAAATCCCTCTTTGTTCCCAATCAAACGGGCTAAAAAAGCCCGAATCTTTGTGTATTAATCTTGTCAAGAGGGGTTTCTCTTGCGACGGTGGCGGAAAAAGATTGCCCTTTTGTTTTCCCTTTCTAAAATTCTTTTATTTTTATTTTGAGGCCTCGTCTGCAATTGAAGCAAGCTTCAACAGAGGTTAAAAATGGCTTGCAAGATTACTTGGGTTTCTTTTTTCAGATCTCTACTGTTGTCATTGCTCGTCGTTGGTATTGTAATTGCTTGCTTCACTCTCCCTGTTGAAAAGGTGAGAGATTTTGTTCTTCACATGTTTCTTGAATTCTACTACAGTTTCAAGTGTCTAACTATTTTTTAATGGGTTTTTTCTTGTTTAGTTTTAGCTTGTAATGACGTTCTCTTTGACTGATGTTACTGTTTTACATGTATAATTTGCTCGAGTTGTTGCTATAACAAGATTGCCCTCTCCCTATGAATACAACAGTGTTATGTTTCAATTATATACCTTTTTGTTCTGAAAGGGTACTTTTCTGCAGATGCTAAAGGATTTCTTGGTATGGGTAGACCAAGACCTTGGTCCTTGGGGTCCTCTTGCATTGTAAGTGCATGTTTTCAATATGTTTATTAAATTTATTTATTTGGCCTTTCTTGCTTGAGAACTAAATGTAGCATATATCTATTAGGATTGTAAGTAGTTCGCCTGTATCGTTAATCTACGGGTTTACTTCATGTTCAAGTTTAATAGACTTGGAAAAGTTAATAGGAAAGCTTCATATCCTTCAAATGGCTGCCTTGGTTCAAATCAGCTTGAGTTGAAGGAATACACTAATGGTGGATCATTGATTGGAGCTGTATGATAGAAAGCTTCAATTTTTGTGTTAATTGTAAGATAAAAGGTCCTTTCAGATTGGGATATTAAAGAATCATATCTATGGACGATGTTATTAGAATAGAATCTCAGTAGTAGCCTGCGCTGAATCATGTTGAAATTTAAGAAAATGAATCTCTCTCGTCCCACCTTTTCAAAAGTCCATGTTATTCATGTGTGAGTTCATGTTGGTTGTGACCTTGGAGACTTCTTTATTTTAGCTCGAGTCATAACCAGTTTGCGTACTGAAACATTCAGAAACTGGTGAGTTGTTTCTGTAATAGCAAACTTTACTCCTTTTTCTAATCTACGTACAATGGCTTTTGAAGTGTCGATAAGCTTGAAATTCCAGTTTCTGCATGTCGAAATAACTTAGCTGGAGAATACCCGTGAACTTTAATCTTTTTCTCATTTAACGACCTTGCAGAGCTGTGGCATACATCCCTCTCACGATATTGGCAGTTCCAGCTTCAGTGCTTACAGTAAGGATTAGCTTCTCCATTTAATGGTCTTCAATGTCCTTATCAATTTATATTAGAAAGAATTAGCAAGTGATTGTGAATCTAAGAAGGAAGCCAAAATTTCATCCAAATACTGTGTCCAGGTTGATTAATGATTAGTTTCCTCTGCATGGCTCAGCTAGTCAACTGTTTGTCTTAAAGTTATTAGAAGAGTGTTTTTTTTACTGTCATGATGTCAATTAGTGTTCTGTTTGAAGGTATTGAAATGGATGTTTACTGAAATGCTGACTGTCATTTGTTGGAAATTGATATCCCTGCAGAAAATTTAAGTAAATCGCTATACAAGATAATCAAAAGATGGACCTCTTAGCTCAACCCTCTTATCATCCAAAAAAATCTGAAGTTTCCCTTCGACTAGCACGACTTATCCTACATAATTCATGCAATATATGACCATATTTGTATTAGTTTCCAGCAGGGTTTGTGACATTATCATCGATTCTTTATCATGAATTTCCAAATGGTCTTTGTTTTTTATTTGTGATTGTCTTGTGTCATATGACATATTTAGGCTAAATTCTTGGTGTGTAGAGAGGTCTTTAAGGCTGCATTATTCATCTGAGTTTTTTCCATCTTTTGTCATCCAAGTCGATTTTAAATCCTCTTGTTACATTTTATCAATTTCAGCTGGGTGGTGGGTATCTCTTTGGTTTGCCTATCGGCTTTCTTGCAGATTCTATTGGTGCTACATTGGGTGCGGGAGCTGCATTTCTTCTTGGGCGAACTGTAAGAGCTTTTCATTTTTTTAAAGGAAAATAAAATCTTTTACTTTGTGTTCAAGAGCTTCATATTTGATTCTTATAATGCATCTTTTTCTATTTTTTTGTTTTTTTTGTAGTTTTTTATATTCCTCTTTGCGTACTGTTTGCTCATTGCTTTTTTTTTTTTTT